GTGGCCGGCATGACTCAACTCCCGAAGGCGCACGGAACGCTGTTCCCTTCCCACCAAAGGTGGTTCCTATTTTCCTACTTTTATTTACCTGCTTTCGAACTGCTAGATGGGCAGAAGCTGGGACAAGTCACGGGAGCTCCCTCCGTTACGCGGCGCTGGGGATTCGAACCGCCGAACTGCCGACTTTTCTGATCGACGAGCTCAGCGTCTCAGCCCCTGAGCGACCGCATATAGTTCTATTAATTCTAATAGGCTCTTGTTAATTTTTGAGGACACGTTCAAAAACCAAACTAAATATTGCACGCAGTCCTCGACTTACGACCAGAATTTGGACGGGAACGTCCATGCTGTGAAGGTTGTAAGAGCAAGAGGCGTCTCTCTGTCTGCGAAATGTCCTCCTTAATTCTCTCGTTTGGTGCTTAGGACTGGACTTACCACGATATATGGCGTTTCCTTCGCAGTCTTTATATCCCTTATTGCATTCTCTACGACAAGGGGTAAGTGCGATGATATCTTTAATTTTTATCTAATTCGGGAGGGGGGGGATATGTTTACAGGTGTATTTGCACGAGGAAATATTCTAGGAAGCTATTAAAAGGCCAGGCGGGTTTAAGATTTGAGGGTAGGGAGAAGAAGAGAGAGAGAAAAGGGACTTAGGACCCCATCATCCCTTGCGAGATGGAGTCTTAGACAACTGAATGGAGCTGGGTGTTTCATGGCCCGATGCCTTTCCAATCGCCAGAGCGGAGTTTTTTTTATTCAGCAGATTTATTCTCATTGGGCCTCTACCCGTGATCGAACTCACAAGCCTCCTGATTGTGAGGCGAGAGGCTCCACCATTAGGCCACCTCTCAGCATCTCCATATCGGCGGGATTAAAATGCGCACATTTGGCAACTGATTCATATTTATGACGGCAAGCCAAGTCTCCAGGGAAGCAGGATTCGCTTAACAACCATGTTCCTTCCTTAACACCTGCACTGACCCCCTTAGCAACGGTGGCCAGGGAGGTCGTAAAATGAGGCAAAACCCGCTCGGCGACTGTCTAACTTAGTGATGGAGATTTGGGGCTCGACGTCATAAGTCGAGGCCTACTTGTACCGTGTATATCATGAGGTTGATCAGTTCTGGATAGAAAATGTGGGATTTTATTTTGTTTGTTATGTCTTCCTTTTGGTTTAATGTTTCGGCAGTTACACCTCGCTGGGAAGCATGAGTAACACCCACAAAAACCAAGCGTTGCGTTACCGAAACGCACAAGGCCAAGAATCCTACCGGCCGGCTTACGAGTTGGAAGACGAGAAAGAAGAACGCATCTGTCGCCATTGAAACCCCGGATCGCGTCTGTAGCCAGCAATGCTGGTTTTAAGCAAGGCCTGGGGGGGGAAAGAAGTGAACTTTTCAAAGAAAGTTTTATCGGCGTCGTAAAACGGAACGCGTGGGTGAGGGGCCGTCCTTGGATTGGTCTAGTCCTGTTGGCATCTTTCGAACTGCGGATCGTATACCGCAAACAGAGCGTGTTTCTGATATTTTCCATTTTCTGTGTGTTGGAATAAAAAATTGGGTGTTTTTTCCCCCCCAATTCTCACCGGTCTTCCCTTCTCCTCATTTTACTGTGATTGAAACAAATCAAAAGGATTATATTATTATTATTATTATTTCTTTTATTCATTANAAAATTAGTTTGGGCGAGTCCCCTTTGGCGGATTGTCCGAGAGAAAGAAAGGAAGTCTTACGTTGAAGGCGACTTTCCTCTTTCATAGACGGCTGGAGACTTGTTTATTTCCAGCAAGAGGAAGTGGCGGGGAGAGAGAGAGAGAGGGAGGGAGGGAGAGAGAGAAAGAGAGAGAGAGAGAGAGAGGGAGGGATGGTGGGAGGGAGGGAGAGAGAGAGAGACGCTAAATAGCCTCTTGACGTACAGAACAGGGTTGAACCTTGGCGCCTCGCCACCCAGCCGCCTCCAAGCATCCCGTGGGCGCCTGGTCCGTTTTCCTCCCTTAGCCGGAGACCGGTGTGTGTTTGTGTGTGTGTGTGTGTGCCAACAAAGTCTCACGACGATGCGGCACCCCGAAGCTCTCTGGGGCGCCTCTCCGCAGGGACGTCCACACAACATTATGTCCAGTTTTGGTCACGGCGATGGTACGCGCTTTAATCGGGCGCGCTTTAGTGGACCGCGGTTTTGACGGGTCACGGTGGGAAAGGGCCTTGTAGGTCATCTCATCGTCCTGGTTTCCTGCCTGAGCCCCAGGGGGTTGGACTGGATGACCTCCCGGGGTCCCTTCCGACACTAATTATTTCTGCGAATTGTCCCGCTAGTTGTAACGGCGGTAAACCACAAGTCCTTTTTTTTTTTTTACCAATGCTGTGGCCCAATTCGCGTAAGTCAAAGAACTATCTAAAGATTAATAAAAGAGTTGGAAGGGACCCGGGAGGTCATCTAGCCCAACCCCGCCCCCCTGCCCAAGCATTACTGGCAGGTGGCCGTCCAGTCTCTCCTTGAAAGTCTCCAGCGACACAGCTTCGATTGTGTAAAGCACAGCTGTGTGTCCCTTTCTCTCCCGCAGACACGACCCTCTCCCGCTGTTCCCTGAAGGACGGCTACTGGTGCAAACTGGCTTACTGGGAGTATCGCCTCCGGGTAGGGAGGCTCTACCCGGTCCACGGAGATTACGTCTGCGTTTTCTCCAACCTGCCCGACGGCAACGGGCTGTGCCTGGGCCAGCTGGCCTCCCGAAACCGCAGCCAAGCTGTCCGGAGGACCCAGGCTAAAATCGGACGCGGATTGTTGCTCAGCCAGGAAGCCAGCGGCGTCTGGGCGTACAACCGAAGCGAGCACCCGCTCTTCGTCTGTTCCCCCACGCTGGGGCCCGCGGGGAGCTTCGCCCCTCCGGTTCACAAAATCCTGCCCGGTTACTCCGCCAGGGTCTTCGATTACGAACGAGCAGCGCATCTGGCGAGCAGGCGGGCGGGGGCCGGCGAGGGCCCTCACGATGGGCACACCATCCGGATCAGCTTCGGTAAAGGATGGGGTACTTCGTACACCCGCCGTTTCGTTACCTCTTGCCCGTGTTGGCTGGAAGTGCTGCTGAACGCCCCGAAATGAAGCAGTTGTTGGGGGGGGGGGGACGACAACAAATTCAACACAAAGAGTTGCGGGAATATATTGCGCGCCCCCCGACGTCGGTCATTCGGAGCGGCAAGAAACTCAACTTCCTTCGCCGGAGGGGTCTTAAAGCTTTCACGGGGTCCCTGCTCACCCTCCCCTCTTTTCTACCTATTGCTTTTGCGGCCAAAAATGCAGGTAGTCCTCAACGTACGACCAGGTCTGTCGTTAAGCGAGGCAGTTTCCCCGTGTGACGCACAGCCAATTAGCTAAATCACTGCCATCGTTAAGGGAGTCACGCCGTTGTTAAGCGAATCTGGCTTCCCCCATTGTCTTCGTTTGGGGGGACGGGGATTAAAGAAATCGCTGCTGTTATTAAGTGGATCACAGGGTCGTTAAGTGAATGTGGCTNCATTCCTGACTCCGGCGTCCCGGCTCCTCTCCGTCTCGGTTTTTCTTTTTTTTCCTTTTTGCAAGCAGTTTCCTGCTTCCCTTGATAAGATCCTGTCCGCCTCCACTAAGCGCAGCCCGACTGGGGCCGGCGCCAGGGGTCACCCCGTGGCCAGCACTCCTCGCTCCTACCCACCCCCAGCTACTAAGGACCGAGCCAGGCTGGGGAGCCCCTCCCCACTTCCCTGCCCGCAAGAGCCAGTTTTCTGTTCTCGTGCGCTTCTGGAGAGCTGGGGCGCAGAGCGCACGGAGGGGCAGGGCGATTCCTTTTGAAAGGCTGGTTTTGGCAATGGGAGGGGGGCTCCCACTTCCCTCCCCCTCCTGCCCCCCAAGAGCCAGCTTCCTCCGCAGGGGGAAGGGGGAGTTCAAATCAGATCTGGGTAGGTGGCACTCCTTTGGATGCTCCGTGCGTTTTGGAGAGCTAGGGCGCACGCAGGGGAAGGGTAATTCCCTTTGAGATGCTGGTTTTGAAAATGGGGAGGGGGCTCTCACTTCCCTCCCCCTGCTGCCCCCAAGAGTCAGCTTTCCCCTGGGGGGACAAGGGGGGGTTCAGATCAGATCTAAGTGGGTGGTACTCCTTTGGATACCCCGGGCGCGCCGTGCGTTTTGGAGAGCTAGGGCGCAAGCAAGGGAAGGGTAATTCCCTTTGAGACGCTGGCTTTGGCAATGGGGATGGGGGGCGCGCTGATTTTGCTAGCAGGACGCGGAGAGGGGGCGGGTGGGAAGCGACGTCCCAGCCTTGTGCCTTGCTGGCGCCAAACGCCGCTGGCTCGGTCCTGGGATCCCGAGCCTCGCGGCGCCAGCGCAATCTCTCCTATCTCTTGGGGGAAGTTGGAAGAGGAAGTCGGGAAGATAGCGCGGGCCGCAGCCGCGGAGCGAACGCCCTGGCTTCTTAAAGGGACAGCCTCGCTGATCTTTGGGAAGCCCCGTCCCCTCTCTTATCCCTTTTGGCAGGGGAGACCCCTCCCACTAGAAGACCCCATGTTTAGAAGAGGAAAAAAAAACCTTGCAAACTCGGTTGGATTCCTGTCTCCCTGCAGAAAAGGGGGAACAATTGTGGCAGGTGCTACCCCCCCTCCTCCCCCCAGGACCTTTGGTTCTATCTACTCCAGTCAAAGCAGAAACGGGACCTTGAGGACTAGAAACCTAGCTTGGCTGGTGAAATGGTTCCGAGGCTCCAAAGAGAGCTAGGAACGATGGGAAAGTGTGGTCTCTCCACCCACCCCCCAATTATCCATATCTGTAACCAGAGGAGACTGGTTGCATCTCTAGGACTGCCTAATGGGGTGCGCGGGCTTTGATTCTTCCCCTTCTTTGGGGGGGGCAGAGGGGCAAAGTGAGAACAAACCAGGATGAAGATTAAATGTTGGCTTGCTACCAGCCCGGGAACATAGCTTGCTTCCTTGTTCCTTTTGAGGGACATGCAGTGATTTGCTGTGGCTAACTGCACTTGTGTGCCCCAGAATTAAGACATTGGGGGGGGGGTCACAGTGTGTGGGGGAATTTAAGGGGGCACAACCACAACGGGCATCCTTCCATCCAGCCTATTCAGCTGAGCCCAGCGCAAGGAGTTTGCAGCTTCAACGCTGGGGTGGCAGAAGGAAGGAGGCACCAGCTTTGCCCCTTGGCAGAGACCCCCCCCTGCCCCTAACTGCCCCACGCCTTCAAGCCAAGGAATTGGGGTCCTCTTCGCCACATCTGGCCAAAGTGGGGAAGGTATTTAAAAAAAAACACCCTTTGATTTGGGATGCCAAGCCTCCAATCAGCCTCCTTGCTGCTCTCCAATCCAAGTCTCCCCAGGCAAACTGAGGTTACTCCGCCAGCCCCCTCCCCATTTCCTCTCCCTCCCCCACCCCCAGAGGCTGGGTTAGGGAAGGAGGAGGAGGAGGCAACACCCAGCAAAGAAAAGATCGGGGCAGGAAATGTGCGGGGCGAGAGAGCCCTCCAGCCAGCATCCAGCGGAGACCTCAGCCCTCCCCTCTTTGCGCAGTGAGTGATTTCTGTGGTGTTGGGGGGCTGAAACCGGGGCATCCCTTTCATTCTACCCCTCTGAACTTTGCAAAGAGGGTAGGGGAGGGTGTTAAGATTTGGAGGGAAGGGGAGGAAAGAACAGGGGGCATCCTTTCCAAAGATGGAGTTTTGCACCTTAAAAACTGGACCTTGGGGTAATTCTGTGTTCACACATAACTGCGGTGGACGGATGGGTGATGCGTTGTGGAGTCGTGTTTTTCCCCAGGAAGGGGGTTGTTATTGTTCCGGTCAGCTGCTAGATTCGAGGGTACCCATTTCAACAAGTGTGAGGGGGTCCCCCTTTCAGGGAAGGGGTGACAGCCTCCACGTTTCACTCTTTGGCACAGATTTAAGAGGGCTGGGAAAATATCTGCTCACCCCTCACATCCAGGACATAAATTGTGTCAACTTCTATAGTGGGGGGCTTTGCACACCAGAACCACTAGAGACAAGGACAGTGCCCCCCCCTGCCCCCCCCGAATGCCATCACTGCTAAACTAATTCCCACAACGCTGTCAAATTATCTACTAAGGCTGTATTGCTATTATTCTTCTCTTCCTTCCTAGTATCTATCTCTCCCCACTTATGACTATTACCGTCTTGCTTGTAGCTTTCAATTTTATATCGTTTTATTTGTTTCCTAGTATAATTTGATGGCTTACTAATAACCCATGACTATTATTAAGTGTTGTATCTTATGATTCTTGATGAATGCGTTTTATTTTTCTTGATGTACACCGATCACACTTGGCCAATAAAAAATTCTATTCTATTCTATTCTGTCTATCCTATATTATATTCTGTTCTGTTCTATTCTTCTATTTTCTTATTTTCTATTCTCTATTCTATTCTACTCTATTCTGTTCTCTTATTCTATATTCTATATTCTATTCTTTCCTGTTGTGCATTCTATATTCTATTCTATTCTATTCTATCTATCCTACATTCTATTCTGTTCTGTTCTATTCTTCTATTTTCTTATTTCCTATTCCCTATTCTATTCTACTCTAGTGCTTATTTCGTAT